GTCGGTGTGCGCCCGGGATCTGAACCCGGGCTGCCAGCAGCGGAGCGCTCGCACTTAACCGCTAAGCCACGGGGCCGGCCCTGAAATAGTCATTGATGACCCTAGTAAGAGCCGTGTGGTGACATGTTGGGGTGGAAGCCACTGTGATTACAGCTGTGTAAAAACCTGTCATTAAATACAGATAAAGAATCAAAAGAGGCTATGTTTTATTTAGATGAAGACATTATTAATATTATCTCTTGTGAAGTTGTTCTAATAACAAAAATAGTTTTTTAAAAAGGAAAAAAAAACATGCAGTGTGTCTTGGCAAATGGGCTTCCTGACTGACCACCTGCAGACTGGTGTTAAAGGGGTGGTTGGCTCACAGTGCGATTTTTTTGATTGGTTGGTTGTTTTTCGTGGGCTGTGGAAAAGCCTGGATTGCTTTATGTGAGCAGGAGAAAGAATGTAAGTGTGCAGAGAACACCTGGTGATGTCCTTTAGTGTTTGACCACGTGCTTGGTTCTTGCAGGTGTGGTATGCTGCGTCCTATGCTGAATTCGTGAACCAGAAAATTCATGACATTTCTGAGGAAGAAAGGAAAGGTGGTTGGACTTTTTTACATTTTCTTTAGGAATTCTAAATTGTATATGTTACATCTTTATGCAACCTCTAATTTTTTCATATCAGTGTATTTAAGAAGATATTTCAGTAGGTTTTTTAGAGCTACATCTCTGTCTAATTCTAGGATCAAATGACAATGACATATTTACATTTCTTTCATGAGTGCTGGAAAATAGTATTTAATGTAATGAAAACCTCCAGATCCTAAATTAGAACCTAGATCAGAGAACGATCCCTATCTAGTTTTAATCACCTTTGAGGACATAGCAAGGCAGGCATTGGCTTTGTTTTTTTTTTTTCCCCCCAAAGGCCCAGTAGATAGCTGTATGTCATAGTTGCACGTCCTTCTAGTTGCTGCATGTGGGACGCGGCCTCAGCTTGGCCGGACAAGTGGTGCATCGGTGCGCGCCGGGGATCCGAGCCCCTGCTGCCAGTAGTGGAGTGCGCACTTAACCGCTAAACCATGGGGCTGGCCCATGGCTTTGTTTTTTTTTTTTTCCCATGGCTTTGTTTTTAAAGTAAATGTTACTGAAGTATAATCTACATACAGAAAAATGCACAAATTATACAGCTTGATGAATTTTCACAAAGTGAACATACCTGTGTAACCTGCACTCAGATCAACAAACAGAACATGACCAGTGCCGCAGAGGTCCCCTTGTGCCTTCTTCCAACTTCCCCTCACTCCCAAGTGTAACTAATGTCTTGGCTTCCAATACCACAGATACAATATGCTTGTTACTGAACTTTATATAAATAGAATTATGTGATATATATATACTTTTGGCTTCCGGGCATCTTTTGTTCAACATTATGTTTGTGAGATTCATCCATATTGTTGTGTATTATTGTAACTTGTTCATTCTCATTGCTGTTTGGTATTCTACTGTATGAATGTACCATAATTCATTTATCTATTTTACTGTAGATGGAAATTTCGGTTGCACAGTGCAATTCTGACATCAACTACCTGGAGTGAGGTCACATTTCACAGGTGTAAGGGCAGAGTCTTCCACAAGTCTCTCCTCCCTTCAGACACCAGCCAAGCTCAGGAGTTCCCATGCCACCTGCACTTCTGACCAACTAGCTACAATTTAGGGAGTTCCCAGTACCCCCTTAGGCTTGATAATTCACTAGAATGACTCACAGAACTCAGAAAAGTGCTATACTTATGATTACAGTTTTATTATAAAGGACACACGTCAGGACCAGCCAAATGAAGAGCTACTTAGGGCAAAGTTTGGGAGGGTCCCAAACGTGAAGGTTCCATGTCCTTTGGCTGTGTCACCTCCCTGGCACACTGATGTATGATTACCAACCAAGGAAGGTCACCTGAGCTTCGGTGTCCAGCGTTTTTATTGAGGCATCATTACGTAGGCATGATTGATTGAATCACTGGCCACATGATGGAACTTGCTCTCCAGCTCCCGCTCCCTCCCTGGCTGATGTCACCTGGCTCAAAGCCCCAGCTGTGTAATCGAATGGTTGGGCTTTCTGGCTCAGGCAGCCCCCATCCTGAGTCATCTCTTTAGCATAAACTCAGGTATGGTCAGAGACCACCATGAATAACAAAGATACTCCTATTACTTGGGAAATTCCAAAGATTTATAGGTTATTTGCCAGGAGCCAGGGACAAAAGCCAGCCATATTCTTTATTATACAACAGCGTTGTTTCCAGTTTTGGGCGGTTATGAAGAGTGCAACTGTGAACATTCTTATACACGTCTTTTGGCAAACATATGTGTGTATTTCTGTTGGAGGTACATCTAGGAGTGGATTGCTGGGTCATAGGGTATGCATATAATCAGCTATAGTAGATACTTCTGAACATTTTGCTAAAGTGATTACATTGGGCAATGACTTTCAAGTTATTTGTGATGAAATATACCCTCAGATTATGAAACTTGGATCCGAATCACTAGGGTATCTGAATACAGATTTCCATTGTAGCATTTTCTGTCTTTCCAGTGTGGTGAGGTTGTGTGTATGTGTGTGTGTGTGTATGTATTGGGGAGTGGGAGAGGGTTTTTTTCCCCTTGATGTCTTACATGAATATAACTGAAAATAAGATCCTAAAAACCACCTCTCTAACTTTAGCCTTTGATTTTATAGCAAAATAGTAATGCAAATAGCAGGCACTGTATGTTTATGAACTCTGGGATACAGTGTGATGAGAATGGCAGGGATACTGGGCATTTGAGTTTTATTGGTGTCTGTTGATCATCAGCCTTTATGATTTCTCTCCTGTGACTGCAGTTCTTCGAGAGCAAGAGAAGAATTGGCCCTGCTATGAATGTAACCGCCGATTTATAAGCTCAGAGCAGTTGCAACAGCATCTCAATTCTCATGATGAGAAACTGGATGTGTTTAGCAGGTATAATGAGGGGGAAGTTTTCACAAAGTTAGTTTTTTAAAGGTCCAGAATCATTTCTATATTGTCTATAAACTAATGAGTGTTTCTGTGTGTGTGCGCACACACCTAGGTAGGCTGCTGAGGGAAATCTCTAATCGGTCGTTTCCTGTTTTCCCCTGTCCTTATTTACTATTTACCCCTTTTCCAGCAAAACCAGTACCCAGCAATGGGAGATCCTTTCACCTTAGTTAAATCTCTCTTAACTAGAGATTCTGAAATAGGGATTCTGAGATAGCATACACCTTTGAAATAATCTGCATCTCTGATTTTCAGACTTTTTCAGTAGTAGGATTCCTTTATCAAACTGAATCATGTGTTTAATTCCACTATACCAAAAAGATAGATGAAGAAGAATCATATAGGAATTATATAGAATTGTAGCCAGCGGCAGATCATGTAAGGCCTTATGGGTAATGGTAAGAGATTTGGATTTTATTCTAAGTATGATGAGAATTCTTTAGAGGGTTCTGATCAGGGAGCATTGTGATGTGAATTAAATTTTTCAACATCACTGGATAAAAATAAAAAATAGCACTTTAGCTTATATTGGAGCAAGAGTGAAGACAAGGAGTCTAGTTAGAAGCTATTTCAGTAGTTCAGGTCAGGAATGAGAGTGGTTTGGAATAGGGTAGTATCAGTGGGACAGATGTAGTGTTGCCAACTCTTATAGGGTTTGGAAAGAGAGGAGATGGTGTGAAATGGCATTTAGGAAAGTGAGAAAGTAAATGTTCTAGGGGCAGTACGGTATGATTGCCTGCAACACTAAGAGCTCACTTGAGGTTCGTGGTCATGAGATTAAAGTGAGACCACTTGCCTGGCTGTGCATTGTTCTCCAGCTTCCATCACTGCAAGAGTGCTAGGGCAGAGCAGGCGGGGAAAAGGAGTGCACAGGGTCGTGGTTTTGCCAAGAGCATACAGCATAGCAAGAGTAATGAAACAGCAGTGGGGATGGGAAACAAGCACGTACAAGGGAGTGATTACAATGAATGGCTTTGGAGTTTATGTGTGGAAGAAGGGGAGATAAAATTTCAAGAGGACATAGGACTGCAAAAAGGTGACAGAAGGATTGGGTTGGAGATGCTAGTGAGGTTGGAGGATATATTTGTACATGAGTCCTTATGTTTTAGAGATTCATACTGAAGTATTTACAGATGAAATGATGTCTGAGATTTACTTCAAAATAATCTAATGGGTATGTGTGTGGGCAAAGTAGTGGGGATATAGATGGAATAAAATTGGCCATGAGTTGATAAATGTTGAAACTGGGTAACGAGTACATTAGGCTCATTATGTTATTTTCTACATTTGCCTAGGTTCAGAATTTTCTATAGTAAAGAGTCTTTTAAAAGTTTCTGGAAAAAATATATAATTTTTGTTGAAGTGTTAAATAGATGAGTGGAAGATTAATTTTATACACATTCCCACACACATCTTCTAAAAGAGGTTTTCATGACGTACTTTCTGAGTCCCTTTTATTAAGGAATTTTTGTATCTTAGAAACCTATTAAAGGGAATACAATTTATTTGGTGTTTACTAGGCATGTTGATGGAACAGTTGAATTAGAAATTTGATCTGACCTTCCAGAAGCTTAGAGTAAAACAAGAAAGTTCTTTTGAATCTAGCCAGCGTTCTTGGAAGGAATGAGTGGTGAGGCAAGGGGAAAAGAGGGAAGGAATGGAATCTGGTCTCTAGGAACACACTCCAAGGCTTAGCGTGTTCTGTCCTATCTGCATTGCTCACATCATTTCAGAGATGTGTTTGTGCTTTCAGAATTTTCAGTAGCAAAATGGTGTCAGTGCTTGGAATATTTATAGCTCCTTTTTTCTGAGTAATTTAAGACATCTCTTTGAGCCATATACAGGGCAAAGATGAAATTTAGGAAGTGTGTATTAGCAAAACAATTGTTTCCATTAGAGGAAAGAATCAGAGAAAGTAATAAAGTGAGAGGAAATCAAGACCTGGGGTTAGCCAGGATGGTTTCGAGAAATATTTGTTAAGGAGTATTATGTAACCATGACTATTTATAACCCAATCTCTTGTCCCCAGAGCAAGAGGCAGAGGAAGGGGACGAGGCAAGAGGCGATTTGGCCCAGGTCGACGGCCAGGGCGTCCTCCAAAATTTATCCGCTTGGAAATAACCAGCGAAAACGGGGAAAAGTGTGATGATGGGACACAGGTACTGGGAGGATGGGAAAGAGCTACTGCTTTGATGCTTGCTTAGAGGGCTTCACAGAACTATTACTGGATTTAAATACAAATACCTTTCAGAGGTTGACAGTCCTGTCATGTCTGTGCTTTGCTGCCTGTTAGTTAAAGTATGACTAGAGAAAGGCAAAAAAAACGTATTTTCAAACTTTACTTAGAAGACAAACCAACTTTACTCTCCTAAAGATTTGAAATTGTCCAGAGATGTTATGGGGGACTCTTTTTAATTAGTTTAAACCATTAAAATTATTACCATATTCCAGAACAGTCCTGTCACAGTCTTTCCCTTATGAGTGATCTGGAATATCTCTTGTTTTTGCTTTCTGTGGATAGTCACCTAATTAACTTTCCCAGAAGGAGAATATTTTTTCTGAGCATAATGACTCTAGTCATTTAAAAAATAAGCAGTGGGGCCGGCCCGGTGGCTTGGCAGTTGAGTGCTCGCGCTGCGCTACTGGCGGCCCGGGTTCGGATCCCGGGCGCGCACCGATGCACCGCTTGTCGGGCCATGCTGAGGCGGCATCCCACATACAGCAACTAGAAGGATGTGCAGCTATGACATACAAGTATCTATTGGGGCCTTGGGGAGAAAAAGGGAAAAAAAGGAGGAGGATTGGCAATAGATGTTAGCTCAGGGCCGGTCTTCCTCAGCAAAAAAGAGGAGGACTGGCATGGATGTTAGCTCAGGGCTGATCTTCCTCACACACACAAAACATAATAATAAAAAATAAGCAGCAATTCTAAATCTTAGCTGACAGTCCTCCTAGCACTGGTCTCTCTCTAGGTAGGGAAATGATTCCTGCTTATTGCAATTTCAGGACCTGCTACATTTTTCCACCAAGGAACAGTTTGATGAGGCTGAACCAGCTACTCTGAATGGGCTGGATCAACCAGAACAGACCACTCTCCCAATCCCTCAGCTGCCACAAGAAACCCAGTCTTCTCTGGAGCATGAGCCAGAAACTCACAGCCTCCACCTGCAGCCCCAGCACGAGGAGAGTGTCCTGCCCACCCAGAGCACGTTGACGCCCGATGACATGCGCAGAGCCAAGCGCATCCGAGTAAGTGGGAAGCAGAGCTCCTCCCTCACTAGGCGCTGCCCTTCCTTGGTCAACCAGCTTTTCAGGTGCTATGTTTTCCAACCTACTCACCATCCACTTTGAAATCTTTCGTCTAGCTTATTACATACTCAATCTCTTTATTTTGAAAGAAAGTATTAACTATTTCTCAACGTTTTTATGTCCTATGGCAGGCTGGAATGGCTGGTCCTAGATTCGATTAAGTTAGTGATGACACAGAAGCCTGGCTTTTGGCAGCTTCTGGACTAGTATATTTAAAATAGGATAGCTCTCTGGATCCCTAAACTCACAGATTGGAAATGGAGAAATAAGTACATTTAATTATAATAATTATTTACATTTAAGCCAGGCTAATCTGTGCCTAATCATAGCTCTCAGCTTAATTTTGGTAGCTGAATCGGTTATCTACAGTTTCGGAGGGGAGACTGGCAAACGTCATTACTGGTTAATGCCAAGTGTCCAAGATGATATGGCAGGTGCAACCCACACGCCAGGGGACAGCTCGAAGTGAAGCTCTAGTTTCGGGAGTAGGCCAGTGGCTCGCTGTGTGGCCTGCGGCTTGAGTTTCGGCCATGAGGCTGCCGGCCTCCCTGGCTCCAGGGCAGCTGTGTTTTCCTGTTATTTCACGGACAGCATTTGAGCCTGAGTTAGGAGCTGCAGGGCATGCATGTGGAGAACAATACGGTTTGTGGGATAAGTGCCCTGTGCTGACTGTTTACATCTAGAAAACAGTTACTTAAACCCGGGTTTGCGGCAGCAGGGCATGTTTATTAGTACTTAATGTGTAGATGAAAGAGATTTTTCATATAACTTCCCAGGCTTTACAATTTCTAGATGGACGATCATTTTAGCTTATGTTTCTTTTGGTCTCATTTGCTTATAGGCTAGAAGGGACCTTGAAAAATAGTCTAGTCCATGCCTTCATGTAAACATACATTTCAACATTTATAGCTATATGGTAGCATTGAAGGGCACTAAGCACTTACAGGCCTTTATGGCCTTTACATATAAAACTTTTGGCTCCATGTGTATTATTTCAAAAGGATACGTAAACATGCGTAAATATAGACCAGAGAGGCAAAAAGCTATAAATTAATACCATCCAATCCATCATTCTACATTGTTTCCCAGTCTGCATTTCACTCTCTTGCCCAGTTACTGTCTCTTCTGCTTCGGCCATTCTTATTTTTCACTAAGTCCAGGGAAATGCTTAAATTTAATTTTTCTGAAGGAAAAAACTAGAGCCCACATGTGTAGTGAAGTTGTGGATGTACAAGCCTCATCTGGCTGTAATTGTACTTTTGTTCTTAAGTGAGTTGGGTTGCTGGTTTTGGTACAAAGTTCCAGGTGTCAAAGCCAAAGCCATGTGCACGTGGCTTTTGGAGGTCAGTCTTAGCTGAGCTGTTTTTTTTTTTTCCTCTCACACATTCTAAAAATTAGGGCTATGTATTTTCTCATCTTTTCTATCCAGATTGGTAATGACCAACTGAAGGGAAGTCTTCCAATCCAATTGGTAATGTAACTATTTTTCTCTCCTCTAATGCTGCCTGCTCAGTTGGAGCTGCAGGTAGGTTTGTTTCCTGTGTTTCACATAACAGAATGTTATTTAAGTGTTTGCCTGACCTGCTGTTCTTTGCAACCTGTACTTACTAAATCCCGGTGGGCACTACGATTTGGTTGCTACAGTAAATGCAAATTAGTTAATGAGTAACGATAATTTATTTTCAAATAGATCAATGAGTAAATTGTGGGCTGCAGATTCCTCATACACAAAATGAAGGGCAGGACTAAGTGATCTCCAAGGTCCCTTCCAGCTCTAGAACAATTTGAATCACTTATGGAATGGTATGGAGTTCTAACTATATCTTCAGCACTGTGCTAGGTACACAATAGAATTTTCACTTGAGTCCTGTCTAATAGGAGCTTACAATGTAATTAGGGAGACAATGCTAATGTAAGGTGGCTTACAGTTAAGCGCTAAATTTAAAAGTATAGCCTATAATTGCTATAGGCACTTGGAAGAGTGAAAGGCTGAAGAAGGATGAAGGAGTCATGGACTAGTTCATAGAGGAAGTGATACTTAAACTGGTTCTTGAAAGAGAGACAGGAAAAAGGGAGACTGAGAGGAGGGCAGCTGTAGGATCAAAGGCCGAGACACAGGAATGTGCTTGGTGTGGTTTGGGGACAGAGCACATACTAGCTTGACCCTAGCGTAGGGCGCCCGTTGAGGGATAGTGGGGAGTGAGATATGTTGGGCAGGGCTAGCCTAGCACAGGCTTTGAAAGCTGGGCAGAAAACAGGCCAGAGAATAGTTGTTTAAAAAAACAGCAACCAACAAACATTCCTTTTAGCGTCAGGATCAAAATAACATGAAAATTGATCAATAATTTGGGTTCCTTTAGCTGTTAATATCAAACTTTAGGAACATTTGTGGTCTCTGTCTGCGAAGAGTGTTGTTTCAGAATTCATTTCAACGTGAGCTGAATCCCTCCTCCCAGATTTTAGCAGCTGTACCACGTTGGCGCCTCAGAGTAGCTTGTGTACCCTGTGGTATGATGTGGTGGACTGCTTGCAACCCAGGGATCAGAAGACATAATGGATCCAGCTGTGCAGCATCCACCATTTTTCATGATTTTTTCCAGAAATGTCTACCAATTGTAGCTCTGAACTACAGAAGATGCCTTAGAGTAGAAATGACCCGCAAGTGGTCAAGGGGTGGGAGCGGTTTCAGCACTTTCACTCCCTGGTAGTATGAGGATTACGTTAGGGTCATTAGATCAGAGAAATACAATCTAGTTCTTGAGTACTTAGACAACATTCAGGGCTCCATGGAAATTAAGACGACAATAAGAACAAGGTTTGTCGACAGAACTAAGAAAGTGGAGCCAGGTGTCTGCTCAGTTTACATCAAGTGTCTGAGGACACTCATACTAATCAGAAATGACAGAAGACTTATTAGCATAATGGACCAAAACGAAACTGAGTTCTAGATTTGGCACCCGAGGAGAAATAGAATCCCCAGTGTGACCACGATCAATTGTTGTACATTGTGTCTGCCCTTGGAAACTTCACTGTGCTGGGTAAAGGAGAGGATTCTTACATGCCAAAGCACTCTAATTCTTGAGTCTCTGAACCTCAGGATGGCGTTTGTTTATCTGCAATATTTCCATAAAGTACTGGCAGTAGCCAAAATAGTGAGAGCTTTTATGTAAAAGAAGTATCTGTCCAGATAGAGTAAAAGGATTAGGTAACTACTGAGCAGTATAATGAAGTGAAGGAAAGCTCTGTGGTTGATTTGCAGGTCTGTTCTTAAAGATCTCTGCAGATGCTATAGAAAAAATCTTGAAATAATTCTGTTTGATTTTCATATGTAATATATTTCATTAATTCTCAAACTTTTATTGAACACTTCCTATGAGTTAAGTAGTTTTTTAAGGGTTCTAGATACAAAGGAGAATAAAATATGATGCAACCCTGAAGCTGCCCCAGTCAACTTGGGGAGACTACAGAATTGCCAAATATCTACTTAAGATAAATGAGTAGGTGAAATCTCTCTCCTAGCCTGTTGAGAAGCCCTGTGGAGGAAGTGTTCTGTTACATAGTAACTATGTTCAGAATTTTCACTAAATCAAACCTAATTTTGCTTTTCTCCTAAATGATTATTTCACATTAAATTTAGTTTAGAAGTTGCTGCTTATAAGTAATTTGAAATTAAGAGTTTAAGGATTGTTCACTGTACTTTTTTCATTACACGAATAATGCATTAAGGTCTCCATGGGGCCAGCCCAGTAGCGTAGTGGTTAAGTTTGAGTGCTCCGTTTTGGCAGCCCAGAGTTCGCAGGTGCGGATCCTGGGCGTGGACCTACGCACCACTTATCAAGCCATGCTGTGGCAGGCATCCCACTTATAAAATGGAGGGAGATGGATACAGCTGTTAGCTCAGAGCCAATCTTCCTCAGGAAAAAGAGGAGGATTGGCAATGGATGTTAGCTCAGGGCTAATCTTCCTCACCAAAATAAAATAAAATAAAATAAAATAAAGCTACAAAAAGAGATCAACCACAATTAAAAAAAAAAAAAACAAAAACAAGATCTCCATTAATCCTTCAATTTCCATTCTCTTATAGTTACATAAGCATACCCATTCACAGATATATTTTTTCTGAGGGATTTTTTTCCCTAATAGTTTTCTAGGGCTTTCCCCCTAGTATTTTGAGGAACTTCTGAATGAGTCTTCATTACAGCATAACAAAAATATTGATTCTGTAGTCTCTGTGTGAAAGATGATTTTATTGATCTGCTCTTAGAGCATGAGTTGTTTTTCCAGTAGTAGTGATGAATTTGCACTGAGTATCCATATTCTCTCTTGGATTCCCTATAACAACTGCATGAATTTACAAGATGGTTAATCAGCATTAGAAGTGCAATCTGTGACTCAAAAAAAAAGAGCATAATTGACTGGTCTAGATAGGGAACAGAGTGATAAGCTTAACCTTGTTAGCATGGCGTTCTAACCAATGGAACTAACTAGCTGCACTCAGACCTTGTCCCCTGCATTTCCTAAGTAGGACTTGATTAAATGCACATATTCCTGTATGATGTGTGCTCATATGTCTTGTCTCATGAACAAACATGTTCACATAAATACATATCCTTTCTTTTCTCTTTCAATTCTTTTTCTTAAATTGAGATATAATTCATATACCATAAAATTCAGCCTTTTATAGTGGTTTTAGAATATTCTCAAAGCTGTGCAACCATTACCACTATCTTATTCCAGAACGTTTTCATCACCTACAAAAGAAACCCCGTATCCATTGCCTCAGCCCCTAAGTACTACCCTTTAGTTCTTTTTATTATCTTTTTTTTTTGCTAAACAATTTAATCAAGCTTAATTCTTTTTCTCAAGGACTTCAAAAAGTAACATCTGGCTGACTTGCTCCAACCTCCTTCATGCGTGTGAGACTTATCCCAAGTCATTTCTTCCATCTTCAGTTTTGATTCTACTCCATTCTGGGATTTGTTTTATTATACAAGTCCTCTATTGGGAATATTGTTTTGAATGTTACTTAAATCTTTTCAAAAGAAAACATACATACATAGACATAAAACAAAACACAAAAAAGTTTGTCTTTTCAAGAAGAATTTCTTTGAGGATGGATTCATTTTTAGTGTCTTCACCAGAAAAATCTCCCTTCAACTGTGTGTCCTAGAGTTTAATTTCTCTGGAAAGTCTGTGATTGCAGAGATCATCCTCTTTCTCTATAAATGTTTGAGCCGCTGGCATGTTTAATTTCCTCACTAAATAATCGTATTTGTGTGTGTCTTTCAGAACGCAGCTCTTCAGCATCTGTTTATTCGGAAGTCCTTCCGGCCTTTTAAATGTTTGCAGTGTGGGAAGGCCTTTCGTGAAAAGGACAAGCTGGACCAACACCTGCGCTTCCACGGGCGGGAGGGGAGCTGCCCCTTGACCTGTGACCTCTGTAACAAGGGCTTCATCAGCAGTGCCTCCTTGGAGAGCCACATGAAGCTCCATTCGGACCAGAAGACTTACTCTTGCATTTTTTGCCCAGAATCCTTTGACCGCCTTGATTTGTTGAAAGATCATGTGGCTATTCATATCAATGATGGCTACTTCACCTGCCCAACTTGTAAAAAACGCTTCCCAGATTTTATCCAGGTGAGTGTCTATTACTGAGGTTCTTATATACTGCCTTCTTTTGGTAAAAGAAATTTTGATTTTTGGAAAATTGAGACTGCCTATCACCTGCATTTTCATCCCTTCTTTGAAACAACTTTATAGTTGAGAATAATATTTTTTCAGTCAAACTACTTTTTTTTTCTTTAGTCAAACTACTTTTGCTAAACAAAAGATTATTATGACCCTTAAGTGTCCAAATCAGACATTGGCATGTAAACATTTAAGTTGTATTACAAGTAATAAATACCCAGATCTGGTTATAAGTTTTAAAGTCTTTCTTTATCCTTGCCAATATCCATTACTCATAAAATACGGAGAGCCTTGGGGGCTGGCCTGGTGGCGTAGTGGTTAAGTTTGCGCGCTCTGCTTCAGTGGCCCAGGGTTCTCTGGTTTGGATCCTGGGCGCAGACCTACACACCACTCATCAAGCCATGCTGTGGCAGTGTCCCATATACAAAATGGAGGAAGATTGGCACAGATGTTAGCTCAGTGACAATCTTCCTCAAGCGAAAAAAAAGAGGAAGATTGGCAACAGATGTTAGCTCAGGGCCAATGTTCCTCACCAAAAAAAATAAATTAATTAAAAAAAAATAAAGAGCCTGTGGAAGACATACTCACATTTCCTGGCCTGGAAACATTTCCTCCCTACCACTGCGGTTTCCTGTTTTACTTTACTAAGATTATGCATTTTGGAAGGAAACAAAGAGAAAGTTGGTATATAATATACTTTTGTATCAAACACTGACTTCCTCCCCTTACTATATTCTGGAGCAAAATGGGCGAAGATAAATTCCAGAATATTCATGATTTCATTTGGCCTTCAAGTGATGCTATTATTATATGCTAGTCAATGAATAATTAAATCTAAATATCTGGTAAAAATATCCTCTCTCTTTTTTTAAATTACTAAAGCAAAAGGAGACTAGGATTTAATCATAGTTCTCCTAATGTTGGGAGTCTTGGTAATTTTCTCACTTTACACAAACAATTAGAAAAGTTGCTTTAAGGCAGAATCTAATGGCAAAAGAGAATCCCAAAATAATGAAGCAAAATGTCTTATAGGAATAGTTTGATATGACTCACTACTTAGCTGCCATCCATAGCTCTTCTTCATTGGGTGTTTATGGCTGAGACAGTTCAAAGGTCATATTCCTTTATTTAAGTTATTTAAAAGTACAGGGAATAAGTCCCAATTAAGGAGAAATGACACTGGTGTTGTTCTCATAAATGGGTAATGTGTTCTATATCATCTAATTCATGTCTTTAATTATTCAGAATCTGATTCTATAGACAGATGTAAAAGGACCAATTACTAAAAGGGGCTAAATTGCTTCTATAGATGTTGGGGGCAGGAAAAAGTGAAAAAGAATTGTTTTTTGTCTTCCTATAGATAATTTTTAGCAAGATTCATTTAAATACAAAGAAACTCTACCTTTAATCTTAAAAGAAAAGAAAAAAAAGAAAAATGTTTTCCAAGTGATCAGGGCTTTGAGTGAACAAGCACCAGACTTCCTCCTCTTCAGGTCGTATGGGAGATCGAGATCTGTAAGGCCTTCTGGCTACTTGTTCTGTTCCTTTGTGACAGGGGTAGTATGTGTTGGTGAGGCCAATTATCAATCACATCTGATTGGATTACACCGCCAGGTTGATGGAAAGCCTTGAGAGTGTGTTTGGCTCCCTCTAGCGATCATAAACTGCATTTTGTCATTTCCTTTGGTGCCCAAGTCCCCTGACTTTTTCTGTCTTCACTGCCAGGTGAAAAAACACGTGCGAAGCTTCCACTCAGAGAAGATCTACCAGTGCACAGAGTGCGACAAAGCCTTCTGTCGTCCTGACAAACTGCGACTCCACATGCTCCGACATTCGGACCGCAAAGATTTCCTGTGTTCGACGTGTGGGAAGCAGTTTAAGGTATGTAACCAGGGAGCAGCCCAGGGTTGTTCTCATGGCCACTGGAATGATGTCAGGCTGAGGACAAATGCCTGCTCATTTCATCCGTTTATCACCTGCTCACGAAGAACTGGACTGGAGGTGCGTTTGTGTCTCATGTTTGATTTAGTTATTATGATAAATTTAAGGAAAAAACTCACCTTAACTTCCCCAAATAATAAATTCAAATCCCCAAACATATTAATAATGCATCTTCTAAAAGAATCCAAATGTATAATGTGTAGAAGTAAATTGCTGTTGAGGAATTCCTAAGAGAACAATACATTTACTTATCAAATCAAGAGATTTTTATTGAGGTGCTGGCCCCGTGGCGTAGCAGTTAAGTGCGTGCGCTCCGCTGCTGGCGGCCTGGGTTCGGATCCCAGGCGTGCAGGGATGCACTGCTCGTCAGGCCATGCTGTGGCGGCGTCCCACGTAAAGTGGAGGAAGATCGGCACGGATGTTAGCTCAGGGCCAGTCTTCCTCACACACACACAAAAAAGAGATTTTTATTGAGCCTGATAATTGAGCCCTGAAGGCAGCAGGGCTGTCATCTAACGGGGTGGGAAGTCTGTAGAACATTAAGAGGGCTTAGACTACTTTGGGGAATGTTAATGACTTTAAGGATTAAAATAAAAAATAATAGGTATCAGTAACCTGCCTGGAATTTAGAAGAAGCAAAAGAAAAATCCATGGGCGACTCAGCCATAAGAGTTAAACAAATAAATGTGAAACAATAAAATATGCTTCATTGGGAAGTCAAATGGTTCTGCAAAGATATCACTGAGAGAGAGTCTACTGAACATGATTGTAGGTCATTCTGTCATAGAAACGGGAAAAGAATCAGAAATGGATTTGGGAGGGGAAAACTAATTTTAAAAGGATGTGTTTATATATAATGTGGAGACGTTAAAGAGAAATAGAAAGCAGTTTTCAAAGCTTATGTTTTGTGGTATGTGTGTAAGGGAATATAATCTCATTGGCTTTCAATATATAATAGCATGATAGAGAATTCTGTAGGGACCTCTAATGTGGAAAGTATAAATGGGTCTAGGTGTTTTTCTGTTGCTTAATTTAAAAAAAAACCAATATGTCTAAAAAGATCTCTGTCTTATGATGCTAACTTGTTGGCCATCTATCCTATCTGTTCAACATTTTTTGATTATCTGTTTTGTGCCAGATATCATTTTATCACCTAGGCTTATAAAAAAACACCTTTTTGCTTCCATTTTCTCCTTTACTTTCACCCAGTATATTAGACAGGGTTCAATCAGAGAAGCAAACCCACTATGAGCATTATGGAATAAGGGATTTTCTTATAGGAGTAAGAACTTAATTATAGGAAAAGATGAAGAAGTAAGGGTCTGATAGGAGAAGTTGGAGGATCAGAGAAAGGTCACTAATGCACCCTCGGAAGCCCTGGTCAGGATGGACAAATGGGAACTTACCTGGGAGTCTGGGAACCCAGGCACCTCCAACTGCGGGGTGGGCCCATGAAGGAGAGCTGGTGCTTTCCATGGAAGACTGTGTTGCTGTGTGTGCTGGTGCATGTGGAGCTGGCCAGCAGGGCTGGCTGTCAGGAAGACAATGAGGATAAGCAGGAGTGCACTGGCCCCTCTATGTCTGACCCGATGAGGATCACAGCTGCTGCTTCATTTCCACCCTCCAGTCTGGTGTGAGTCTCTCTGGGCTGACTCTAACCGGGAACCACACTGGGCGGGGGACCCATGTAGATGTAGTCCCCTTAGCGAAGTCGACACTGTACAAAACCACCACATACTTTCAATCCATTTTTCAGACTATAACCAGAGTAGTTTTTCTAGAGAACAAATCTCATGTCATGTCCCTTCTGAAAAACCCTTTAATAGCTCTTCACATGGGTAGATTCCAAAGTGCTTATCACTTAAAAGACACTGCAAGACCTGGCTCCCAGTTACCGCCCCAGTCCCCCTTCCGCTTTGTGCTTTGGCTGCACTGAAGGACTTGGGTTACTTCTTCAGTGTGCATACTGTCTGTCCAGGGGCCTTCGCATTGGCTCTCCTTCCCACTCCCCGCCTGAATAAACTTTCAGACTCTCTCACCATTCCACCTGGCTGATGTCATTTCGTTTGGGGGCATCTGTTGATCCCCCCACACTGGGTTAGGTGCTTCGCCTATGTATTCCCATAGGACCTTTTGCCTGTGACCCCATCATAGCACTTATTGTACTGTATTGTAATTGTCCTACTAACTATAAGCTCCTGAGGTCAGCATATGTAAAGATAAGGTAGGGCCTTCTGACTTCAAGGAGCTCGCAGTTTAAGGGGAAAATTAGACATGTGCATTAAACAAGTGTTATTGCTACTATAATAGAGAAAAGAATAAAATGCCATGAGAAGAATTAACTCTGATTTGGGGTATAGGGAGGACTTGATAAATAAGGTGACACTTTTGAATTCACTAGAGGTGGGGAAGAGTTAGCCTGCTAGAGCAAGGGATAGGATGAGGAATGAGGGAGGGATAAAGATGCCCCAAGCAGAGGGAATAGCAGGGACTAAGGCAATTCCATATTTAGGAGATGGTGAGAGGGGTAGTGGTTGGAGGGCATGGTAAGAGGCCAGTGGTGAGAGGAAGCCAGAGAGGTAGGTTAAGCCAGTTTGTTAGGCTAGGTAATTAGACTACCAGTGAAGTGACCCATGGGCGTTCATGGGCCAAAACTGAGGCACAGGCAGTGAGCATGGAGAAGAGGGCCGATATTCCAGACAAGTGTCTAGGGGAGAACTGATAGGACCTTGAGTGTGGATAAAAGGGTGAGGGGTGGGCAGCGAGGAACTGAGATTTGTAGCTTGCGAGGCTAGATGTTTGGGAACACTACTGATACAAGAGCGAGACTTCGGCAAGAGGAGAGAGAGTAGGAAGGGATAATGAATTTGGCTTTGGAGCTGTTAGGATGGAGAGGCTTTGTGGAGGTTTGGCATTCAACAAACATGTTTGTCACTGCATGCATAGCATGGTGTGATATCAGTATTAGTATTAGGCTTTGGGATTTATGTAATGATTCGGTTAAATAAATTGGTCTGTTTAAAGGGGTTGGTGGGGGGAAATTAGTGAATACTGATGCTTAGGAAAAAGTACAAATGCAACAGAGGTCTGAGGTGGAGAGCTTTATCATTGTATGCTTACTAAAGACAAATACTGTGATTTAGGGCAGTGTTGTTAATCCAGATTTTACTGCAGAGTAGGAAACTATGAAATTCTCTCCTTGGCTTTCCAGGAATGAGGGTGGGTGGGGGTAGGAAGAAAGAACAGTTGGGTCATCTCCATTGTAGCAGAAGAGGGAGGTGGGTGAGGGGTGCCTGGCACTGGAACTTGCAACTTAGCATGGTTCCTGATACTTGGTGGGCCCTCAGGAAATAGTGTCAAATAAGTGTGCTGAAAAATGAGGTGGTTAAAAAAAAGCCCCTGCACCGAAAAGTGGGAAGAACTGGTCTGGTAGAAAGGTTCAAAATCTTTATAAGACCAGTAACAGTTTAATCCTATGTCCAAGAGCAGAGCCTCCCTGGATAAGGGAGCTGGGATTTTTTGGAACTGGTTTTTATTCAGGATGGGCTCTGCCTAATTTTCTCTCTATAGATTCACATCAACGTGTATCACTAGGTTCGATCATCAAATTAAGAGCCGTGACCTAGACTGTATGCTCCATCCATAGTGGACAGTATAATTGTTTACTTGAACTTCTAAATCCATAAGATGAGAGATACTTAAATTCATTTGGGATTTAGAGGAATATCATTATGTTTGTTAAAATGTGTGGGAATTGAGTATACACATGGCTTTGTAAAGCCAGTATTACCTGTCCTTCATTATGAATTTGTCTTGTATTTCTTAATACCAAACTATTCCATGTACCCTTTGATCTCCTCTACAAAAAAGTAAATTTTTTCTTCTCAAAAGTCATTATGTATCTTTCAAACTGAATGGTCATTTTAAACCAAGGCCCACTGGAATGCCCTTATTTGGTAGTGAACAGAGTAATTCCCAGTCACTTCTGCCATGTCCTTGTATGTTCCAGCACTCTAGCAACCTGGATGCGTCTTGGTAGGTTGGTTACTGCTAACTTGTATTGATTTCTTTTTTATCCCTCCAATTAAAAATTTTCTACCCCTACTCCTCAACCCCCTGCCTTTTCAAAAATTCTCTCTAAATAGCGAAAAGACAAACTACGGGAACATATGCAAAGGATGCATAATCCTGAGAGGGAGGCCAAGAAAGCTGACCGCATCAGCCGCTCCAAGACTTTTAAGCCTCGGATCACGTCCACTGACTATGACAGCTTCACGTTCAAGTGCCGCCTGTGTATGATGGGCTTCCGGAGACGAGGCATGCTGGTCAGTGCCGAATGGCTCCATGTTCTGCCGTCTTCCAAACCTACCCATTTCTGTTCATGGCGATGGCTTTTGTACTATATTCTGTGCTAAATTTGTCAATAGGTCTTGTCAATGGCTAGTGGATAAAATGGAGTCAAACAATTCCCAATTTGGGGTTCTCTCCTTTCCCATCTCCCTCTGCCCTCCTTTGCCCACACTTCATTTCTGGTGACCTCTTGGAAGAGGTCTTTTTCTATCACTTTCATTACTAGTTTTGTTTTGCTTTACCCTTCTCAATCTCTGCTCTTATTGTGTTTTATTTCCTTCTTCTCTTTTGTGTTCCTGAATGTACTTTCTTGTGAGGTCTTTGCCTTCTCCCCAGTTGTTCCTTTGAATGTCTCTCTTTTTCATATGTGAAACAGCAGTAGAAGGGAACTTTCCATGAAAGCAGGATATGTGCACCCAGGTGAGCTGAAACACCAGGATAGCCAGTTCACTGCTCTCAATTCATTTTGACCTTATTACAGTTTTTGTAGAACATATTTCTGCCAAGAGCTAAAGTCATAGAGCATTATTTAAAATTCAGAACCTTAGTTTGTATCTCATTCAATGTCCTCTTGAGGCTAGGGCGCTAAATAATGAAAGGCAGGTTTTCATCAGGAGAATTCACCAAAGAAATTCACGCTAGTATTATTTTCCTTTTTGCAACAGCAGTTCTTTTAGGCAAAGACAGTTAATGGGATCCACAGTGACCCAATTCACCTTCAGGAATTTGCTGAATTACTTACTGTTAACTCCTGTTAACTGTGACTGTTAATGCTTTGGTGTCAGATGGGCCTGGTAATGCTGGTTCTGCCCAAATGCCTTATTGTTTTGGGGCATTGCTGCAGAGAATTTTAGCTTCTAGCAGTCAATATCAGATGCATTGGTTGGTAATAGGGTCTCTTCCTCATTTTATTTTTTCCCCTTTAGGTAAATCACTTATCAAAGAGACACCCAGACATGAAGATAGAAGAGGTGCCAGAGTTAACTCTACCCATCATAAAACCGAACCGTGATTACTTCTGTCAGTACTGTGATAAGGTAAAAGGACTCTTCGTTCTGCTGTGCCTCTGTGGGAGCCCTGCTTAGAGCCAATTTTTCTGCATGTATAAATATATATTAGGATCTTGCAATTACTCTTAACAGATGGTTCCCTGTCTCTCAGTAGTTTTCCGTTCAGATAAGAAAGGGCTAGAAGTGCAGAGCCAAAATTTTTTTCTTAAGAATTAGTTGACTTTGTTTTGTTCCTTTGCTCTGTGATTTTAGTTAGAAAAGAAGAGGCTTATTACCAAGAGCTTAGTATATGAATTCATTTTAAAGATTTTATTTATTTAATTTTTTCCCCCCAAAGCCCCAGTAGATAGTTGTATGTCATAGCTGCACATCCTTCTAGTTGCTGTATGTGGGACTCGGCCTCAGGATGGACGGAGAAGTGGTGCCTCGATGCGCACCCGGGATCCGAACCCGGGCCACCAGCATTGCAGCACGCGCACTTAACCACCAAGCCACAGGGCCGGCCTATGAATTCATTTTAAATTCCTAAGCTCTAGAATGAGAGTGTTTATCATCCTACTTGTAAAATACACGGTAGATTTTGGGTTTCTAGAAGACTGAGTAGGATGTGAAAAAGTTTTGTGGTGGAGTACTCTATTTGTACTATTCCATTCTTTATTTTTGGGCAGTTACAAAAAAGACAGAAAGAGAATATACATCTATTGTTTCATTGTAATATTGTTTTCTTTTACAATGTAGCTGTGTCAGCTTAAAAGTAAGAAATATTTTTTTAAGCATAGAGTCACCACTACAGGTCTTGTTGCTATTAGATTTGCCATTTTGGAAGATTCTTTGGCATCTGGTAGTCAATGACATACATCATATGAGAGCTTTCATAGAAAGACTAAAGGATGAACAACTGGCCTTGGAAACAATTCTCTTTCTATGACTGTATATCCACCTTTTAAACTTTAGGATAAAGGGTATTTTTACTGTTACTAACTTAGATATATAAATTCAAGGAAGATGCCTAGCATATTTATATTACATCATTATTTTATTCTAATTTATTTTATATCCTTATTATCCTTCAATATATCTGTTAATATATTTTATTTTTGCCTACATGAGTACTTTTCATTTTCTTGTAATGAAATTGTTAGTTTGCTTTAAGCAAGAAAGTGGAACTGTGTACTGCTTTCATGGCAAAGCATTTGAATTTGCAGGTTTATAAAAGTGCCAGCAAGCGAAAAGCCCATATTCTGAAGAACCATCCAGGGGCTGAGCTCCCACCCAGCATTAGGAAGCTTCGTCCTGCTGGCCCCGGAGAACCAGACCCCATGCTGAGCACCCACACCCAGCTCACGGGCACCATAGCTACCCCTCCCGTCTGCTGCCCTCACTGCTCCAAACAGTACAGCAGCAAGGTATGGCAAAGGCTTCTGACCTAATCCGAATCAAGACCACTACTGAAGGAATCTCAAAGGAGAAGATGGCATCTCATCCAGATGCTCTGATGGCTTCTTCTGAATTGATGGGGGGCTAGCGGAGGTGTTTTCCTACTTTAGGAGCTGTTTCCTGGGAACAGAGACCATAAGCACAGAATGGGAAGAGAATATGGTGGACTTTCCCCAGAATTAGCATCATTTGATAGCCTGAGCACTCGACTGGTTTCCTTTTCCCTTGGCCTGCTGAAGGTCTCATATTTGAATATTCTGGGCTCATAGTTTGTGAGCTCAGGCTTACAGAATTACTACATGGGAACCGAAATGATAGTTCTTGAGAAGGGGGTCATTTTTGCTGGGGGGGGCTTGTGATTGATTGCTACAGGTATTGGTGGGATTAGGGGATACTGTGAGGTATTCTGACCTTGCCTGATGGTGCGGGGTCACGTGAGCCTTTAATTTCTTTTCAGCCTCTTCTTTCTTCCCTTTCCCAGTGTTGTGCTGCCTTAAGAAGGGCAGGCACAGTCAACGTCGCTCCCATTTTTATTTTAAGGCATAATGGAAATGAGGGTTTTCATATTTGAGAAAGATTGAAAATAATTAATTCTAGTAATCATTCTTGGTTTTTGCCATAATTTTTCAGACCAAGATGGTACAACATATTCGAAAGAAGCATCCAGAGTATGCCCAGCTCCCTAACACCTTACATACACCACTGACGACAGCTGTGATCAGTGCTACCCCAGCGGTTCTAACTACAGATAGTGCCACTGGAGAGACTGTGGTGGTAAGTGTGTGACTGGTAAGAGCCTCTCATCTCCTTCAGGAACTTTCATTCATAGCTTTCAGTGCCAAAGCCACTCTATCTTGTTATTTAATTGGCTGCGAATGTAGTCCATTATCCTTCAGTTTTCTCAAGGCATTATGCTTATGATTGGGTCTCCTAGTCAGTGTTTTACAAAACTCTCTGTAAAAGGCTAGCAAGAAATTTTCAGTGCTGCTCATTCACTGTGAGATTGTCAGAACCTCTAGGGTAACCCTACTGGGCCTGACACAGACAGATAGATATAGATATAGATACATAGGTAATCTTCCAACATCTTTTCAACTTTGGAATTTTTCTATCTGAGCTCAGGGCTAATTTGTAGTTCCATGGTCCACCAGTGAGAGAAACTAAATTTTTGTAGGATTTAAGAGCACTGAAATAGCTACAAGCAGTAGCGTTACCAACTAATGTGTTTTTTGTGATTTTTCTAGACAACGGACCTGCTAACCCAAGCCATGACAGAACTGTCCCAGACCCTAACAACAGATTACCGAACACCACAAGGGGACTACCAGAGAATTCAGTATATCCCTGTGTCACAGTCCACATCGGGTCTTCAGCAGCCTCAGCACATACAACTGCAAGTGGTGCAAGTGGCCCCGGTACTGTATGGCATTTGTTTCTCTTTCCCTTCATGAAGGCTGTATTGCCACTGGCCAGTGTGGCAGCTGGGGTCAACAAGGCACCCAGTTCTCAGGGCTGGAGGTGGACCCTACATAATGTGCTTCTGCATGTAAGTTCTGAGTCCCCTCACCCCCAGGCTGTCGAGGGTCTAGACTTGGCAGTGTAAGCGGGTTCTGTCAATAGTAGTCCAGAGATTTAGGCTCCACTGTACACCGTTCTCCTGTGCTGTTGCAGGACAGTGTTAGTGTGAGCTTTCTGAGCCTCTTCTGAACCCTTATCCTTGAGCAGCCAGGTTGACTACTTGGTGAGGAGGCAATTTGATAAGTCCCTACCTGGGCATCGAATGACTTATAACAGTAAGAGGTTGTAAGGAATAATTTTGATTCAATCTCTGAATATCAGTCAGCACCTTGTTAGTATAGAGGTATGACTATCTTCCTTCTACCAGATAATTAGTAGCTCATTCCTACTGATTAGGGAGCTAAAGGAAAGACTCCTTCCAGAACTATTGTTTCATTTAATTATACTGAGGAAGTGGACTCAAGGCACAAATGAACAAACTTGTTGCTCTGAAATAATTTGGTGTCTCAAAATTTAAAACTAATTTGAAAGTAGGAAATTGGAAGTTGCTACTGTCTTTGGCTATTCTTACTTTGTTTTTCTTATGGGAGGGTTCTTAATTTTAGGCTTTGGAAGAATCTATCAATCTCTGAAGTTGCGTGTTAAAATATGATGTGTACGTACATTATTTTGGTAAAAGGGTCCATACTTTAGCCAGATTTTCAAAGATGTCTTTGATATGTAAAAGGTTAGGAACCACTGTTCTAGTGGGTTAATAGTGACAAGCTAAAAGCAAATTCTCTTCTTTGATCTCTTTTAACTGGTAAACGGTAAGTCATTAAATTTAACTGAATTTTAAGGAAAAAGATTTTTGGTCCCTGAGAGCTTCTCATTCAGCTTATTATTAGGAGCTGTATTCCCTCTATTTCCTTCTCTTCCAGAATTTAATAGCATTAGTGACTTATGTTTAGAAGCATAATTTTTTTTTGCCTGGAACATTCCTAAGTGTGTAATTAATGGTTATTATTATTATTAATATCAAAGGACATTGGGCAGTGATGATATTTTTTATTGAGATATAATTGACATATAACATTGTATAAATTTAAGATGTACAATGTATTGGTTTGATACGTTTATATATTACAATATGATTACTACTGTAGCATTAGCTAACACCTTTATCATGTCACATATTTATCATTTCTTTTTTGTATTGAGAACAGTTAAGATTTAGTCTCTTAGGACCTTAAAAGGCCTCATCACAAGAAAAAAAATTTGTAACTATGTATGGTGACGGATGTTAACTAGACTTATTGCGGTGATCATTTCGCAATGTATACAAATATCGAATCATTAGGTTGTACACCTGAAACTAATATGTCAATTATACCTCAACTAGAAAAGATTTAGTCTCTTAGCAACTTTGAAGTTTATAATATGGTATTGTTGACCATAATCACTATATTGTGTATTATAGCTCTGGAACTTCTTTATCTACTAGTTGTAAGTTTGTACCCTTAAACAACAACTCCCCCGTTCCCCCACCCCTCAGCTCCTGGTAACTACCATTATACTCTCTGTTTTTACAAGTTAAGCTTTTATAGATCACACATATAAGTGATATCATATAGTATTTGTCTTTCTGTGTCTGAGTTATCTCAGCCTAATACCCTAAGTGTCCATCCATGTTGTCGCAAATGGCGGGATTTCTTTCTTTCTCATGGCTGAATAATATTCCATTTTATATATGCCACATCTTCTTTATCCATTCATCCATTGATGGGCACTTCGGTTTTGATATCTTGGCTATTGTGAATAATGCTGCGATGAACGTGGAGGTGCAGATATCCCTTCAAGATAGTGATTTCAATTCCTTTGGATATATACCCAGGAGTGGGATTGCTGGATCATATGGTAGTTCAATTTTTAATTTTTTGAGGAACTGTCATACTGTTTTTCATATGGCTGTACCAATTTACATTCCCACCAACAGTGTGTAAGGGTTCCCTTACCTCCACATCCTCATCAACATTTGTTATCTGTTGTCTTTTTTTTTTTGTTTTTTATTGATGTTTTAATAATTTTTAACATTGTGAAATTTTGGGTTGTACATTTTTGTTTGTCCATCACCATATATATGACTCCCTTCACCCCTTGTGCCCACTCCCCACCCCCATTGCCCCTGGTAACCACAATACAGTTTTCTCTGTCCACGTGTTGGTTTATATTCCACATATGAGTGAGATCATACAGTGTTTGTCTTTCTCCTTCTGGCTTACTTCACTTAACATAATACCCTCCAGGCGCATCCATGTTGTTGCAAATGGGACAATTTTGCCTTTTTTTATGGCTGAGTAGTATTCCATTGTGTTTATATATATATACCACATTTTCTTGATCCAATTGTCAGTCGTGGGACACTTAGGTTGCTTCCACTTCTTGGCTATGGTGAATAATGCTGCAATGAACATAGGGGTGCATAAGCCTCTTTGGATTATTGAT